CAGATATACGCAAACACAAAAATACATGTTTCCTAACATACATATATAAACACATTCATACAAACAGAAGTATATGTAAATATAAATTTAGGTACACAGCATAACAGTACACATATATACATATACATACATATATATGCATATATATGTATATATACACACATACACATACATACACATACATACATACACACATACATATACACATATACATACATATACATACATGCATATATATACATCTACACATACATACACACACATTCATACATATATACACACATAAATACATATATACACACATAAATACATATATACATACACATACATACATACATATATATACACACACATACCCACATACACAAATACACATACATACATCAATATTTTTAACCGCTTCTCTTCTTCTCCTCCTTTTTATCTTCTTACTTTATATATATATACACACATATACACACATATATACATATACACACATATTTATATATATACAAGCAGAAGAGCCCGGCGTTGCCCGGGGATATAACAGTAAGAGATAGATCAAGTATCCACCATCATAAAGACTGAAAAATAAAATTGCCAAAGATTATTGTTTAAGGTTGACGGACACGCATGTCTTAATTAGTGTTTTTTTTTTTTTTTTTTTTTTTTACGAATTGGTCAAACTCAAACAAAAACATTGTTTACAATCGTTATGAATCTATCGATTGATGAATAGAATTTTATTATAAACAACTGTCTTGTAAATGGAATTTTTAAAGCATTCTAAATGTAAAAATAAAGAAAAAAGTGTGCAAGACAATAAGAAACACTACCTGCCAAAAAAAAGTGAAGTTTTGTTGAAATCGGTTGAAAAATGTAGGTAGCCTTTCTCTGTAATCTTTTACAATTTATGATTTTTAATTATTGAATACACTAAAAAAAATTGCATATTTTGCTTGTGGTGATTCATAATTAGAATTCTGATTTGAATATATTTTCCACTCGTTGTTTCTAATACAAAAAATATTAACTTTATTTGGGTTTATTAATTTATTACAAGTACTGTGTTCTTTCCTTAATAATTATCATCTTCGAAATATTGTTGTTTTTTGTCTATCAGATTTCTTAGGTCGGCATTTTTAAATTATTTCTTAATACTTTCTTTTAAATATTGAATTTTCAAATAGAACCAATGCCTTATTGATCTGCCTTGTAACAAATTGCAAAGGGAATTGTAAAAACGGGCCTGAAGTACGTGGAATTAATATTCCCTAAAAATAAAGAATTATCCGATTTTTCGATTCGTACAATCAGTAGAGATCGTTAGATTATTGTTTAGGTTGACGGACACGCATGTCTTAGTTTGTTTTTTTTTTTTACGAATTGGTCAAAACCAAACTCAAACAAAAACAATTCGCATTTGAAATTAGTAACTTTCAGAACTTTTTCGGAGATGGATGATGTTTGCGTTCTTTGTTTTTCAGAAAATTGTAGTAAACATTTTTTTACCCACTTAATTTCATGGAATTTCGAAAAATTAAATTGGCCTCAGAAAATTTTTATGGTGGCCTCTTTGTGTTTCAACAGGCTTTGAAATTTGTTCATCGTTGAAAAGTATTAAATATATATTCAAGTACATATACAAGGAACATGAGTGTGCTTCTCATGAAGTAAGAGACAACCCAGCGGCAGATTGCGAGCAGAATCAAGCTTAAGATGAGTAGAGACTGTCAGAGTGCAGGCTGCATGACACATCTAACAATATCTACAGACTTGCTGTACATCTTGAATACCAGCAAAGAGTTTACTTTCACAGACGCAACGCTCAGCAAGCTGCTCAGGCACAGAGGAGCCGTGCATGGTTTAAACTGAATGAGCATGATGATGATGATGATGATGATGATGACGCAAGGAACCCACTTATACCCTGACATTCCGTTGTATTGTGTTTAATAAGCGCATGGACACCAAGGCAAAGGAATACTAATATCATCAGTAGATTGTATACAGTGAGCCCTAGAAACACAGAAAAATTTCACTTACGAATGTTGCAGCTGCATATTTCAGGCGTTGTAAGCTTCCAGGATTTGCACACTGTAGAAGGAGAAATTTTGCCAACATTTTAGGCAACATGCTTGAGCTATGGTCTTCTCTCAAACGATGAAACACTTGAACATGCATTGCTAGAAGCTGCTGCCTGTAGGATGCCCTTATATGTTGCATGTTATGTTTGCTGCCCTGTGCACGTATATGAACCCTACAAATGCTTTTCACCTGTGGACCACTTGCAATGAATCCATGATTGAAGATTTCTTGCACCAAGGTTTATTGCAGCCCACGCAGAAAACATGGCACTGCACTCAATTGATGCAATTCTGGCAAGCAATTGGGTTGACTGAACCTGTTGGTGTACCGCAGCTTGACCATCATGAAGACCCCGATTGCAACACTTACTGATGAACAGAGAGTGATTGCTAATGCTGTGTATGAATCTGAGGAGAGGTGAGGTGGACAACCACTCTTGTTCTATGTACATGCATCAGGAGGTTATAGTAAAACGTATGTCTTCTGCGAAGGAACAACTGCAACGTGTTCAGTCGTGCTTGGACAGGCATTGTCTTTACACTTTCTGTCAGGTGGAAAGACTATCCATAGTTTCTTCAAATTGCCTGTCCCACTCACGGGGCCAGCGTTTGCAATGTACCAGCCACTTCAGACCATGCAAATTATTTACAAAACCTGGATTTAATCATCTTGGATGAGACTTGGCGAGATATCACTGGCATTGCTGTTGGTTTTGGTGGTAAAGTTGTGCTCTTGGGCGGAGACTTTAGGCAAGTCCTACCCATAATGCCAAGAGGAACTCGTGAAGCAATCATTGAAATCTGTATTAAAAAATATCCACTATGGCTGATTTTCACCCAATACAGATTAAGCCAAAACATCAGGACAACAGCAGATCAAAGGGCTCTCTGGTGGGTGATATCGTCAACAATACCTCTGAAGAAAAGAGAAGGAACAGAGTAATTCTTTCGCCAAAGAACTCAGACTGCCTCCTGATAAATAAAGACGTTTTAAGACAACTCCCAGGCAACTGCTGCTCCTATTATAGTACAAATAAAGTTTTGACAGATGATTCTGCTGAGGCTGAGTGCTACCCACTTGAATTTCTAAACTCTTTGACACCATCAGGAATGCCTCCTCATAAATTGAGTTTAAAACCCGGCTCAATAGTAATGCTTCTTCGTAACATTTCTATCCAGATTGGACTCTGCAATGGTACAAGACTGGAAGTGGTGGCCATGCATCAACATTCAATTGAGTCTAATTGACAGATTTGTACTCATCCCCAGAATAAAGCTGGCTTCAATCGACTCTAACTTGCCATTCACCTTGGAGAGAATCCAGTTTCCTGCCCGTTTGTCATATGCCATGACTATTAAAAAGTCACGAGGGCAAACATTTGAGAAGGTGGGATTGTTCTTACTTCAATCAGTGTTCAGTGATGGGCAACTGTATGTGGCATACTCTAGAGCTCGCAAACTCTCAGATGTAAGGGTTAAAGTGATGGAGACAGACGGACAGATAAGGAAGGAGAAGAGGGTGAACTGTTACTAAGAACATTGTCTGCCGAGAGGTACTGACTTGAAGGAGTGGTGTGTTTTCAGAAATTCTGGAGACCCTTGATTACATTAGGTATGTATCTTTGGTTTATTTTTATATATATATATATATATATATATATATATATATATATATATATATAGCGAGAGTGGAGGCACAGTCCAGTAATTGATAGCGGCTCGGACTAAGGAATCCGAGTCGATTACATGCACTTACATGCTAACAGCCTTGGGAAAAGTATGAATTCTCTTCTTTCTCCCTCCAACTATGGGTAAATAGCAGGATAGACTGGGTTCTATAGCCTTGGATGACAACTGGTCTAGGAGGACAACTCTGAATTCAAAACTTGCAGAGGGGCTTTTGGGAACCTTGTGGCACGTATTCTTTAAAAAGTGTGGTTGGTTCTGCACAAAGCCTTCACCATTATAATCAAATCATATGTGCTGGTGTCTGGGCTGTTGGTTCCCAGGAAGTAAGCTGCTTGAGCCACATACGTCGAATACGGAATACGACGGGAGAGTCCACCATATATTAAATGGATATCTTTCAAAAGAAGAAGCTATTTATATGTGGTATGTATTATATAGTTCGTACATAGATAGGTTTATTGTTTTCTGTATTCATATCGGAGAAAACTGGCATGGCTGTATATTGGGAGTGGAGCGTACTACGGAATAATTGGCATTGGCAATCTTTGCGCACATGGAGGACATTCCCAAGTATCTCTATGTTTTGTTTATTTTCCCAGCCTATGAGTATTGGATGTTAAAAAAGAAAAGATTTAATAGCTTAAACTTTATGTACTTTTAAATATGCCTGTACAGATATACGCAATTTTACTATTTGCTGCTTAAGTATCTCATTCTATAAAACCAAAATAAGTATCGTATTCTATAAAACCAAAATAAGTATCGCATTCTATAAAATAAAAATAAGTATCGTATTCTATAAAATAAAATAACGCATTGAAGAAGGAGCAATTAAAATATCTACATATGTTGAGATTTTAATTGCTTCTTCTTCATTTTTATACATACATATCTGTAGAAAAAGTTTATTGTTTACTCAACCTTAGTCGTTGACTGGAAATTCCACGGGTCCCGCTAGTAAATTATTAATACATTATCGTAGCATAATTATAATTAAAATGCATTATTCTATTATAATACATTACCTTAGCATAAAAATAATAGGATTATTTGAGTATGATCAATATTTTTGTTGTGGATTAATATCTGTATGCTTTGCCTAATCTTATCGGGTTGCTTATCTCCATGTCAGATACTCGTTAATTTTAGAATATCTTTGCTTTCGCATGAGATAATTTATGGACAGAGAAACAAAACTATTCTTTATCTTATATGATAGAGCGAAACAGACAATATACTAGCCTCTTGTTGAGTGTTGTTTCCTCTACGAATAGTCCGCGAAGGTGACTGTAGCTGAACTGAATTTGTGAATTCATTATTTGTATCTCTACCAAGGCTGCGTAAGCTGCGATTCGAACCACAACTGCCTGCTGAACCAGAATACCGGCTGGCTACTTTGAATAAATTTGTGTCTTGGTCGTCCGTCTGAATTTCAGTTTCTGTATCCATTTCATCGTGGGATTCTTGTTCCTGAAAATAAATAGACTTAACCTTTGAAAGCAAACGGCTACGATGTCTCATATAGATTGGTAATACATTAAAATATAAAAATGCCAAATATTAAAGAAAATCAAATAAAAATAAATTTATTTATATGAATTTTATGCGAGTAATTCGCATAGTTTGAATAAATTGAAAAAATTCGTCAGTTTCCATAAGTTAACTTTTTCACCATAAAAATGATTTTCTTACTTCATATGTCGGTCGAGCTCGTTTGTATCGACGTCCCTTTCTCAAATCGCAATTGGGACTTGCACACTCAGACTCTGTATCCACATCACATGCATCACGGATTGTTGAATGGCCACTATCTGCAAGTTAAACATTGATAACAGTAGCAGTATCTCAAAGAAAATGAAATTATTTAATTTCGATACTCAATGCAGTTTTTTTTTTCTTTTGTAGTTTTGCTTTTTTGTTGTTTTTTAACGGATGAAGGCTTCGATCAAATCAGCTCAAAGCCTCTTGAAAGCTCTTATGTGTAGACACGAACAAACACTTTCATTGATAACTACATGTTTTTCCGATTGTTTTATGAGACCAGACTTGAACATGAAAACGCAAGTGCCTTGTCATTATTTGTTTATCGTGCAGACTGATTTGTGGCCAGTTTTAACAGATGTATCATAGCTTCATTTGTTACAGAGAAATTCTTGAATAATCTCTAATTTTATAGGTAAGTTTTCCAACTCCAAAAAGGCGGCAACTTAAAGAAATTAAGTAGTTTGAATGAACTAAAAATGAACATCCTAGGCGTATGTGAAACCAGATGGTCAAACAACGAAGATTTTGTCAGCGACGAGCACAGGATTATTCGTGCCGGTGGAGAGAAAAACGACAAAGGAGTAGGATTAATATTAGATAAAACATTTAAGAAATGCGTTCTGGGATATTACCAACTATCCGAAAGAATTCTGGTAGTCAAGCTGAAATGAAAGCCTTTCAATATATCTATCATGATAGTGTACGCACCGACAGCGCAAAGTAATGAATAAGAAATCGAAGATTTCTAATCAAAGCTGGACAATGCCAAGGCTCTTTGCAAATCACAGAAAGCCATCATTATCATGGGAGACCTAAACGCCAAAGTAGGCAGCGAGAGGGCAGGGGATATAGCCGGAAAATTCGGATCATCGCCCTGTTATATGTAAGCTAAGAGTGAAACTACGGAAAATGAAGAAGCTTAACGCAGCACCCAAGTTGCAATACAACAAGAGACCCGTACCTGAACGAAAAATATACGGACAATGTAAAAAGAATATACGAGGGACACAATGGAAACTCGAAATGGGACGCACTAAGAGACGCTTTAGTGACATCAGCAAACGAGGTCATCCCAAAGGAGAATGAACGAAAAAGAATAAACGAATGGATGACTGAGGAGATTCTCGATATGATGCAAAGGAGACAGAAAACTCTGCCACGATACAGATGTGACACTATTTAACTATGGTAATTGGCTTACTCATTAACCATAAAAATTAAACAAGGAAATGCTGGAAACGGAGAGAGGATAGCCCGAAAGATATACCGTTCGATATTAAAAAGATTTGATTTTATTTCCGAAAAAAAGGTTACTTTTCACAAAAGACAGTGGACCCATAGAAAAAGCCATATGTGAGATTTTGTCAAATTGATTAATATTGTTGTAAAGAAATGCCTTGCCGAGGGAAACATTAGAATTCAGAAAAAAAGGCAAAGCATTAAGATATCGGGCAGATCACATGGCGGTCATAAAAATTTCGGCCTGAGATGATTGCCGATACGGGGTAAGGAGAATCAATGTTAATTATCTTCCCACGATATCATTTAATTCTTTTTCTTGAGTGCCGGCAAGGCAAAATCCATAGGGTATTTGTGAGAATTTGGGGTATGAGAAAGATAGCGTGGGAGAATATAGATTTGGAAGATACGGAATTTAATTTCTCAAGAAAACAAGGGTTCCAGTAAAAGGTAACTTCATGAAGGGACCAGATGGCAAACTTTGACAGTGATTGATGGAATTTGTAAAGAGTACTAGCTAAGTGGATTCTGAATGACCAAAAGATCTGATAGATTTTAAGTGCGATTCGTAAAAATTTTGGCCGATGGGGAAAAAAAAGAATTTTGTAAACAAAAATTCTGGGTTATAATTTTAAGGAGTCCAGCTTAGCCACACCCGCATGGCCTGGATGCCATTCGTCGAGTGGTAGCAATAGTGATATGCGGAGGTAAATGGATGAGTAGGACGGAAAAGTTATTAACGCCCACTGAAGGGATTGGTACGAGATATCAATGTGAGAGAGGAAGAGGTTGAGGAGGATAGCTCTCCTCCGACCTCCCCTCACGGACGAAGGAGACCCCTCCCAAAAAAAAAAAATGGAAAGTGATTAATTTTCCAAAAATGGGAATTAATCAGTTTTCCTGGCCTGACAACAAAGAAATTTCTTGTTGGAAATCGAGATTTATCGAGAACCCCAGACTACGTCTAACTCCGCACCGGTTTTTGGTCGGTACCCATATAAACGAACGTCCTCAGGTCGTTCGACAGTTAGTTAGTTCGGGTAGAAGCTGACCGAGAGATTCCACAACTTCCGACTTCGCCTATCCTATCAATAGCAAGTTATACTGACGAACGGAGCCAAGCCAGCACCTAAGAACTAATCCAGTTGATTTAAGATACTGCAACTTGCTTAAGAAACGTGTCACAATCCGTAGAAAACGGACTGGGAGGAAAACACACTCCTGTATATAACAGACGGATAAATATAATTTGTTATTTCTTAACATACTTGAACCTCTTGGGTTTTTCTTTTATTTGCTTCTTTTTTCTTTACGCTTGTGCGATATCACCTTCAGTCTGGACTCAACTTATACTACGGCCCGGCGCCTGATTGATCTTGTCTACCTAAGATCAAAATCTCAACGTGGGTAGGTCAGACTTGAGATCGAAGCAGTTAGTTCGGTAACCAGACGTTGGAAGTGAGCTGGGAATGACGGAGCTGGTATCGAACCGGGTACGACCACCGATCGACTGGGACACAGGCTGCTGGCAGAGACTAAGAGTCAACCCCAAAACGCCGGTGGAAGAAACATTACAGCTTCGCGCCACGACTGGAAGTTGACCACGAGCCGAAGCGCAATGTCACACGGAATAGAATATAGAAAAATACACAATGAAATAAGGACCAAATGCAGTTAAGAAGAGTGCAATCTTTGCACAAAAAATGTGCAAAGATTGAGTACCACCAACAAAGGAGATATGCACAAACAAATAAGGCAACTAACAGGACGGAAGACATGCTCGTAATAGACTGTTTAAAATCAAAGAACGTAACACTCGTATTAGAGAAAAAAAATCTTCAACGCTGGAGCGAGCATATTGGAGAACTCCTCCACAACGAAAGAGAACAACCAGCAATACACAGAACTACCGACGGACCTGAAATTCTAAAAACCGAAGTAGAAGCTGCATTGGCCAAATTGAACAGAAACAAAACGGCAGGGCCAGACGGAATGGTAACGGTACAAGGAGCTGCTGGAACTGCTCAGCAATCTTGATATATTTGGGAAAGATATTAGAATAATTAAGAAACTATACTGGCAGCAAACGGCATGCATGCGCATTGAGAATGAGTTCAGTGAATATACAAAAATAGGGGCGTAATGCAATGATGTGTCTTCTCACCGGATTTATTCAACCTAACAATGAGGGAATTCTGAGAGAATTGGAGATCCTACCGGGATTCAGCATTGGCGACCACAATCTTTCAAACATAATTTATGCAGATGACACAGTACTAATAGAGGAAAAGAAACTACAAAACCCCCAACAGAATATAGCGAGGGAGAGAGAGACTACAAGAATACAGAATGCATGGTCATCAGTAAAAGGATGAGCCCGAAATGCGATTTGCAGGTCGGGGACACTAAAATCTAGCATATGGGGAAGTTTAAATATCAAAAGCTGGGCAGAGTACTGCGAGAAAGTAGGATTTCTTTGGTGACAAAGAAAAGAGTACTGAGCTGCTACGTGACATCTATCCTCTTATACAGCAGCGAATGTTGGCGCTCTCCTCAAAGATGAAGACTTGAGGCAGCGGAGATGTTGTTTTTACAGAAGGATGCTAAGGATATAATGGAACGAGCGTGGGAGCAACGATGAAGTATTGGAGAGGATGCAAACAAGAAGGAAGCTTATACTTAATATAAAGAAGAGGCAAATGAAATTTCTGGGACGCGTAATGAGAAAGGAGGGCCTGGAGAATCTGATGCTCACAGGTCGAATAGAAGGTAAAAGAGACAACGGAAAGCAACGCATGACATACCTGGCGAGCTTAAGCAAGTGGATGACAGAACGTGGTCTGGGGGAGTTGGCAGAAGTACGAAACTTATTGAGAACTACAAGGAATAGGGGGAAGTGGAGAGCCATGATCGCCTACGTCCTGAAAGGACACGGCATATAAAAAGAAAGAAGATTACATAAGAGAAAATATCAAGAATACAAATTTATGCCAAATTCTATTGTCAGCAAAGCCCAGATTATTTAAATTACAGATTTTTAATACTTTCTATTAAATATCCTTTGGTAGGAAGAAAATATAAATATTTCTTGTAACAAAATCAAAATATGACAAAATTTAGTTAACATTGTACATGTCTATTATTGTAAAACTTTGTCTCCTCCCTTAAATTAAATTTAACGTGTAGCTAAAAGTGTATACAAGGAATGCAGAAGCAAGTCTTTACATATAGTTTTATATAGCGAACGGGGCTTTTTGAAAGAGCATTTCTAAATGATGATTTGTCACACTGACGAGCGGAAATGAATAAATAGGGTGAATAGGTTACTGATCATTTAAATTCTCTATTTGACACGATTTTTTAACCAGCAAGATCAAAAACTTTTTTTCTGTCATAATTAAAGTGAAAATTAAATATGAATGATTGAATCTTTTTCTCGTCGTTAGTTCTCAGTAATATAAGAATTTGAAAGTCCTTGCTTAAAAAATTATTTGCGACAAAATATGTGACTGAAATTATCACTTCAAAATTTTAGTAACGTTAGTTACTTTTAGTAACGCTATTTTTTATTTCTGTTTTAATCATAACGAGTTTGATCTGTTTTGTTTCTTTTTCTTATTTTCTTTATTAGATCGAAAGATAAAAATCAACTCCCATTCTAATTCGTTTTTTTTTTTTATATATATTTTTAAAAATTGGGCGAAAATTCTCATTTCTTCGACTCCTTTCACTTTTCCGTCCGCCTTCTTGTGCACATATTCGTTTAAGAAGAGCTAACTCACCAATGTCTTCAGTAATGCTATCCTCTTCATAACTGCCTTTACGCACTCTGTGGAACAGATTTGGTCTTCTTGCTAGTGCTTCCGCTATGACGACTTCCTCGGCAAGCGAAGTAGCAGCTCGGGATGGTTGCCCACTATATTAGGAAATATACAGAGAGCCAGTTTTCTAAAAATTATACAGCGCGAATATATTTACAAACTAATTACTGACAAGTAAAAATGCATACTTTATGAAAATTTAAAATATTTAACAAATAATCTTCCAGGGGATAAAGTACATTAGAATTTCCCAAATATAGCATTTTATTCTTAAACATAAAATAAAAATATGTTCTACCTGCTATACACGTTGGTACTTTATTGAAGGATTCTGGTTAGCTTGGAAGTAAAATATTCAGGAAAATATTCAGGAATACTGAAAATAGTTGTGCTGTAAGTGATTTGGAGTTTAAAATTTACTATGAAATCACTGCCACTATGAGATCACTGTCAAAACATGTCACGTAAACTAAAAGGCACCCCCAAAATTCACTAAAATAGGTGACTACATAATGAAAAAAAATTCCAAATACATAAAGCTAAATTTTATCGTCAAAATATTTGTGTGATTATTAAGAGAAAAGATCAAAATACTTTTATATGCAAAAATTATTTTTTATCCTTTTTAGAACCATCGAAATTTTGGTTAAAATAAAAATCTTGTTTTTTGCGTTAATTTGCTTAAATATGTAAAGGAAACTCTTGCGTTTTTAATTTTTTGTTTTTTGCATTGAAGTGAAAATTCTTGCAAAAATCAGATAGTGGAATTTTAATGAAACTTTCAGGACTTATTCAGAAATTAAATTATTTCTTAAAAGTTTATTTTTTAGAAAGTATCAGGAAAAATATTTCATTTATATCTGTTACCTGCCACTCATTTAATTTTTATGAAATTTCGATAAATTCTCTTTTGCATAACTTAATGCTTAAATCAGCATTTTTTTTGTATCGCTTAATGCTTAAATCATCGTTTGTTTGTTTATTTTTGTATCGCTTAATGCTTAAATCATCGTTTTTTCTTTTTTATATAGCTTAATGCTTAAATCATCGTTTGTTTGTTTTTTTATATCGCTTAATGATTAAATCAACGTTTTTTCTTTTTTTATATCGCTTAATGCTTAAATCATCGTTTTTTCTTTTTTTATATCGCTTAATGCTTAAATCATCGTTTTTCTTTTTTTTTTAATAAATCATCGTTTTTTCTTTTTTTTTTTATATCGCTTAAATCAATCGCTTAATTTTTCGTTTTTTTTTTTTATATCGCTTAATGCTTAAATCAACGTTTTTTTTTTTTATATATATCGCTTAATGCTTAAATCATCGTTTTTTCTTTTTTTATATCGCTTAATGCTTAAATCATCGTTTTTTCTTTTTTTATATCGCTTAATGCTTAAATCATCGTTTTTTTTTTTTTTTTATATCGCTTAATGCTTAAATCAACGTTTTTCTTTTTTTATATCGCTTAATGCTTAAATCATCGTTTTTTCTTTTTTTTATATCGCTTAATGCTTAAATCAACGTTTTTTCTTTTTTTTATATCGCTTAATGCTTAAATCATCGTTTTTTCTTTTTTTACATCGATTAATTCTTAAATCATCGTTTTTTTTATATCGCTTAATGCTTAAATCATCGTTTTGTTTTTGTTTTTATATCGCTTAATGCTTAAATCATCATTTTGTTTTCTTTTTATATCGCTTAATGCTTAAATCATCGTTTTTTCTTTTTTTATATCGCTTAATGCTTAAATCATCGTTTTTTGGTTTTTTTTATATCACTTAATGCTTAAATCATCGTTTTTTTATATAGCTTAATGCTTAAATCATCGTTTTTTCTTTTTTTATATCGATTAATTGTTAAATCATCGTTTTTTTTATATCGCTTAATGCTTAAATCATCGTTTTGTTTTTCTTATATCGCTTAATGCTTAAATCATCTTTTTTTCTTTTTTTATATCGATTAATTCTTAAATCATCGTTTTTTTTATATCGCTTAATGCTTAAATCATCGTTTTTTTTATATCGCTTAATGCTTAAATCATCGTTTTGTTTTCTTTTTATATCGCTTAATGCTTGAATCATCGTTTTTTTTATAACGCTTAATGCTTAAATCATCGTTTTTTTTTGTTTTTTTTAATCTCTTAATGCTTAAATCATTGTTTTTTGGTGTGTGTGGGAGGAAAACAGAATTTACATTTGTAAAAATCTACTCTGAATGATAAAATAAACATGAAATAGAACTAAAACATTTTTTAATTAGAAAAGTTTTTAATCGCTTTTATGAATAAAATATATTGTGGACACTATTATCTTAAGAAAAAAACATTTTTTCCTTGAATAATGAATTTTTACAGGAATTTAAAAAAAAATTAATTAGAATAATTTATAAACTTTAAATCTTTTAAAATTCTGTATTAATTTCTACGGGCAAATTAAAACTTTACTTTTTATTTATAAATGAAAAACTCACTAATAAAAAAACAATATTCTAAAAAATTTTGCAGTTTTTGACGTGTCGATTTTTGGATGACATTATCAGAAAATAAGAGTGGTAGCAATAATAAATTAAAATTTATTAATAATTTTCGCATATTTTTTCAAGCCAAAGCATCTAAAATTCAGTAAAATATTAGATTGCTTAAAATATTCTTTTAATTTTTTTAAAGATTACTGGGTACTTAAAAAACTATTTTAAAAATGGTGTTTACGTTGTATTCCTCAAGTAATTTTGAGTTCTTTCTCCCTTATTTAAATTCCTCAACCATTAGACTGTCAATAAATCACTCATCACGTCAGTAAAAAAAAAATAAAACTCCGTTTTAAAAAAAAGATTTTTTCCTGCTATATTTTAAACTAAAAGTAAGTAATATTTGTTTTTAATTCAGATTCATTCAACTTTAAATCATCTAATTTTTCTCAAATAACGTTTCAGAAAAGTATATTTTATTTTTGATAGTGTTTTTATTAAAGATATTTATGTCGATTTGACACAACATAAATATGACCCATCTGTCAATATGGACGGATTCATTGATTTTACTGATAAGTAGAAAAATGATTTCAATCGGTTTAAATTCGGTTTGAAATACAACAAAATATTTTGCTTATAGAGAATATCAAATTTAGCATGAAATTAAAACTAGAATTAAAGCTTCAAGAAAGAGTTTCATTTTTTAAAATGCATTTTAATCTTAGGTATTGCTATTTTGGGTGGATGTACCAACATAAAATGTAATGATTGTAATATGATGGCTTTTGCTTTACGCTTGTGTTATGTCACCGAAAAGTGAAGTAAGAATTTCAGAAGTTAAATTTACTCTACAGTTTTTTTTTCTTTTTTTACTTCATCTGAACTCTCTCCATGGAAATAGCGATAGAGCAGCGAGGGGTGAAAAATAATTCGTCGCCTACAAGGACGAGAAAAGTAGAAAGTGGAGACTTGGCTGCTTCTGCCCATGTACGGCAGCAGTACTCCATTTTCGGCCTGATCTGGTTCTTGTAAAGGCAGAGGATAGCAGGAGGAGTGAGGTACTTGCAGGAGCGTTACAGGGAACCGACCATTTTCCCAGCATTTTTAGTGATGGATCGCATGTATGAGTTCCCAGTTTACAGTAATCTGTTCGTCAATAAGAAAGGAAGGAGTAGAGAAATCTGCTGGGTGTGATAATCAATAAATAGAATAGCAACATTGCCTTCAAGTGATCTGCAATTTGGGGAACTCAGAATCGAAATTATTAATCGAGTAATTTTTTATTCCCAAACTATTAGAGATACAGACTTTAGATTTTTCCATCACGAATACGAGATATTTTCCATGATAAACTGAAATCGTAACCTGGAAAATACTGTGTCATTTAATATGGAATTTGTTCGTGGTGCATCCGGCTATCAGTAATGTATATAATTTATGTATATATTTTAAAATTATATACATTTTGGTCATTCTGAAGACACTTTCAAAAAGATGAAAATTAAAGGATACTTAAATAATATAGTAAACAAAAAATTGCAAATAACATTGGGGAAATGTTTCGAATTCATTGAACGTTACAATTGATTGTTTTATTTAAAACTTGATAAAAACCTCGCATTTTATTTAAAAACTTGATAAAAACCTCGATTTGGCATAAAACACAAGAATCGACTACTATTTACAAATATGTGCATGTTTAATTATGTGCTTTAATATAAACTTTTTTAAGTGCATGTAAAGGTTTCCAGCACTCAACAAAAAAGGACGCTGGGAACTTTCGCATATGCCTAATATTTTCATTTACACTCACTACACTGCGTCTTGCATTTTTAGCCACTTTTATTCTTTCTTAATATTCTTAAAGCTGATAAAACCATTAATGAATGTGCATTATATTTCGCATGTGTTCGAAGATTATACGTAACACCAGCTTTATGAGTTTACCAGATTTTCAAAGTTTCGCATGAGTTAGGTTACTGAAACAGTGTTATAATTAAAATTTATAACTGTAGTACATGCGAACATTTTAAAAATACAAATGTGCTGAACAACCGATTGTAAACAGTGATAACGTTATAAAGACACCCTTAATGTGAAATGTATATAATGTTTATATGCGTGCACATATGTTCCAAAGGTTGTCATAGCCGGATTTGATAGTGAAAACAAGCCCCTACTGTTTATAAATGCTGTCTCTGACAACTAAGTCAAACTTCAAGCCGGAGAATGGGCGAAGGCGGAAAACTGGTATTTCATAACCAACTGCTTCAGGCAGATGTAGTTCGACAATCCAGGAAGGTAGTCCATCTAGGGGAAGGAAAAAACATGATTTTAAACCTCAACTGCAAACACGGAAAAGGCCATGGTCGTGAATCCAGACAGAAAACCCGAAGTGGAGTCCCGGAGGTGGTTAGATGTCAAAACTGACAAATTTCAGAAAACTACTGCAGCCAAGCTGTCTTCAAATGTAATGCCCTGTATTCCTTTGGGTCTTGTCGATACGGCGGAGAAGTGGGCCATGTAGTCTGGGCAGCTCACGGTCTCCATATACCTTCCCCCAGGTCTGCGCCTGGAGAGGTCACTCGAAAGGATTGAAATTTGACCAAACTGCGCTATCCTAATCGCACGAGATAAACGGATGCCCACTACAATGTGAAATATATGCTCCGTGCATTGAAAGTAGAAGCCATTCGTCTATTGGTTTTATGAAGTGTTGTATTTCTTCATATGAAATTGACTGCACATTATTCTTCAGAATGTTCCACAAGTTTTCAACTGACGAACAAACCGACCTTTGAAATCAATTTTATACGGATTTTCATCTGTTGTCTTTGCCGAATGTGATGGAGTATTGTGCATAAAAATCATATTTCTGAAAGTGTTTGGTTTGTTTTAAGCAATAGCTTAAAAAATGTGGGAGGAGGGCGATGTATATTTGAATTGTCATCTTAAAACAAATTTGGAACTTGTGATCGGCTCATCACTTCACCAGCAATAATTTCACCAGCAAACACATCATTCACATCCCCTCTGCCTTGACGTCTCAACCTGTGAAGGCGGTTTCTGCTAATAGCTATTCAGGCTTTACTCCATTTGTCTGGCTCATTGAGAGTAGTATGGCATTCATCGGTGAAAAGTAAGCTTAAAAAATTGATGTTCATTTATTCTGTTGTATATTTTAATCAATTTTCCTTATGGATGTGTTTTTAAAGTCGCTCTTCTTATCGGTTTCGCATGTTTTTTTCACTTGATTTAGGACTCAACATCATGTGCTTTTTAACACTTTTAAGCATTGTGCATTAAGCATGGTTTTATAACTTCTCTTTTGATATAAGACACACCCCAGCACGATAAAGTCTTCAGCTTGGCCCTTCTTAAACTTGCATCGAAGTAGTTTAGAATCTTCAACGAAATTCACATTTCGTTGGTAACTACTGAAAATTTTTGCCATTTCCAGCGTTTTACCTTTTTCTAAATTCTGGTTATTAAACATCTTTTTATCCAGTAAATCTGCCTAATGACCCATTTTAAAATTTCAAACACACAATGTGGTAATTAAAACTTCACAGATCATTCAGCAAATAAACCATTAGATTCCAATACGAATTTATTTTACATATTAATAAAAGTGGTTAATAATGTAAGATACAGTCTATTTGCAGTTAATCTTACTGATATTAAAACAAAGCAATCTCAATAAAATTAACTACCTACCAGGACACTTACTTCCGAAAATATTTTATAACATAATTTTACATGAGCGGATTATACATAAAGAGAGAATAATTAATTATTTTCACAGATGAGCAACCGATATTTAAAAAAAAAGAAGCTTCAAAAATGTAATTCATACTCTATAGGAAAATATTCTCGTTGATTACTCCGATTTTAACTTAAAACAAAATCAACATGGCTCGTTCATCTTTTACTAAGTGTTGGGACAAAATATGGGGGCCTATTCTTATAATACTAATTTAATTATTTCGGATAGTTTGATTAAAAATTGAAACCGAAATTTTTCATTTTATTTCGGGATGATTCATTCTGACAGTATACCCCACAAACAAAATGAAATTTGTTTTTTTAGGTCAACTGATTTTTTGCATCTTCTGATCCATAACAAGTTATACAAAGCAAAGAATGAATTTTTATTTTCATTTCTTGCCGTTTTCATTTTTGATACGCCTTTTCACATATTGCATTTTATATTAGGAAAGTAATAGATAAATTAAAACATTTTCTAAAAGTATTTGCAAGGATAAATCTTAAAAAGTAACTCTTAAAATAATCCACACAAAGTTCTGATTAATATAGAAATTCATAAAATTAAAAGCGATACGACGTCTGCTACCGGTAATTATTAGATACTAGTTCCCCAAAATCTTCCCTAAAACATTGCAAATCTAATTTTTCACCTTCATAATTTTATATTATTGTGTTACACGGAAATGAGTATGATTATTATTAATATTTTAGAAATTATGTAGATTTTGCACATTCCCATTTTGATTTCGTTTTCTTCTGTCCATTTTTAAAATTATTTTTGTAGAAACTCGCAAAATTCTCTTAAAATGCTTAAGAATAAATAGCAACAAAATATTTGCTACTGCCAAAATTTAATTTATATAATCAATTTTGATTGAAACGTTCATGGAGTATGTATAATTGTTAATCTGAAAATAAACTTCATAATATTTGTTGTTTTACTTACACAAGTGGACTTTCAGGTCGGTTTTCTGTATTCTTCTTCCCATTGATGGAAATAGGAAATACTGGAGACTAAAAAGAAAATCGTCCATGATACAAGTGAGTGTTAAAGTTGAAAAAATGCTTCTATTAAAGCCATGATGTGCTTAGTATCAATTATGATAAATAGATCAAAATGAGTCATAACATAATTGATTCATTGCATTTTTCACTAAAAATAATTAATCTATACGAAGAGATAACAATGCAAAATAACTCTTGATAAAATTAGCAAAATCAAAATTAGTTTGAGATTATGTTTGTTTTATATTTTTAGCATATAAGATGACTTGAGATATCTTCATTATTATTGCTACAAGTTTTTTGTTGTTTACAGCAACACTTGTCCTTCCAGTGAAAATCAGAATCGAGAGTGCAACGTTAATATTAATATAAGTGAATTTCCTTAATGAAACAAGTTGAGAAAAACGAAAAATGTTAAATTTGATGAAATTCGGCTTAGTTTGCAATATCAAAAACTTGAGTATTTAACTCATTAAAACTCTTCGACCAGATTCGGGGAAATCTGTCCCGGCTTTCCCGCATCAAAGGGTTGAGATTAAGAAATTGGGTTGAGGTTAAAAGTTGCGACAAAACGCAAGTAAAAAACAACAAGATTAGAGCGGACAAACTCTCTCTTTTAGGCGGACGAGTAAAGAAAAAACTCCTGCTCGATGTGTAACAATAAAAGAAGAAAGTATTTACATATACAGAAAAAAGGGTAAAAGGATAAAGACAATTAGGAGTGAAAGAAAGGGAAAAGAAAATATTCTTTAAGGGAAGAGAAAATGTTCATAACACAAAAAAAGGCTTGCTCAAAATATTTCTCTTGGCGCCTAAAAAGTTCTTCAAGCGAGTAGAATTTTGTTATGGTTTAGAAGCACTCACAGTTCTTGCAGAGTAGGAAAATTGTTGGTAGATATAGGAACTTCTGCAGTTGAGTGAGTTCGTAGGTCGACGAGAGAAGTCCAGTGGTTACGACAAGCAATGGTGAAGGGATTCAGCTTTCAATTGGTTTTTAGTAGTGGGCTGACGGTTTGTCTTTCCAGCCAAGCAGGAATTTCTTCTTTGGTTGAAAGTGGTTCTGAAGTTGACTGGAGCTCCCTATCTTCGACCTTAGAGACGATGAGCTGAAGTTCTCACTGCCAAATAGGCGTAGATTCTCCAAATTTATGGAGATTTGGGAGGCTCAGAAGGATCGGGGGACTTTTCCCTCCAAAATCGTTGTACAAATTTCTAGGCACCTCCATTGGTCAGAAAACACATTCTTATCTCTGATAAGAATCAAGGCTTTGGGAGCCGGTTTTGCAAGTAATGAAAACAGGTTGAAGTGAAGAAACTGTGAGGTTTCTCCCAGACTTTAAGGCACCATGGAAAGAATAATGGTGGTGGAATTCCTTTTTATATTTTCCGCCTCTCTCGTTAGTCAGAAAATATATTCTTATCTCTGATAAAAATCATGGCTTGGGAGCCGGTTTTGAAAGTAAAAAGAGAGATTGGAGGAAAAAATAGCTAGACATGAACTTGTAAAATATTGGTTTCAAATTAAATTCCAACATGGAATCTAATTTCAAAGTAATTCTAACATAAGTAAAAGGGTTTCTAAGGAATGATTTTAAGTAAAGTCAACCCAGTTTGAACTGATGATGGGCTTTTCCTTTACACGTGACTCGTTTTAGCTATGTTTTTGTACTATAAGCACTATAAAGATGTTATTAATCTCTTTGCATCGAGGCCATTAAAATAATAAGGCTTCAATTTGTCAAATGATATTGATTACGATAAAAACATAGAATTTTATAAAATTTCACTAAAAACGAAAAATATAGTTTTGTGTACAAGCAGATTCAAATGTTAACAAATGTATCCAGATGATTTTGTATAAACAGACAGAAAGCGCGTTTCTCGTTCAGATTCAAATTAGAATCATATTTCTACTTTGGGTACAAACTCTAAACTCGATTCTACAATCCTGAAGAACTATTCCAAAATTATTCTAAATCATGGGCTTGTTAAGTAGGACACTATTGTCTCTTTACTACTTGACTAAACTTAAATTGGAATAATCACATTTATAGCTCAAAAAAATTATTATCCAAAACCTGCTGCCTCACATTTTTCCAAAGGAAATTTCACGCCACTGAAAATCAAATACTAAAACCAGAATACTTACTTTTAAATAAATGATTAGAACATGAAGTTTTGCTGATTTATTACTTAGTGAGAAAATAAATAGAGAAAATCAATTGCTTTTCTTTTAGATTCCTTCTTAAACTTAAAATAATAATGTATAAGCTTCAAAAAGAGTTGAAAGAAAACATTTGTTGAACATGCGTTAATATCAGTGTACATTTATTGATTGAAATATACATATTTTACCATGAGAATATTTTAGGTTTAATATATAATTATCCGACTAATAAGAAAATCATTGGTTGAATTCTTTTAAAATACAATCAATAAAGTGAATTGATTACATGAATTGGTAACATACTAATTCCCCTATATAACTGAAATATCTTCATTTAAAAGTAAATAGCCACTCTTTTAGAAAGTCTAATTTCTCCTCTGTCGTTTAGAAAGCATAAACTTCATAAGCTGATAAGTAAATCATTAAAAGGTCAATCAATCAAAAATTATATTGTATGGAAATGTCAATAAGTTCATCATTGCTAGTAAAGCATTCAAAAGATCCATTCGAAAGCAACTATTATAAAGCAGTTTCAAAGCAGTTTCAATTCTATTTCAACACACGAGAAACAACGCATAAAATAAAAAAATGAACATTTAATGAAAAACTACAAGTGTCAAAATATTTTCAAACATCAGATTCAGTTTAAAAATCATTTTATGTAAATAAAGAATGAAAATAAGATTTAAATTGGAATTATTTAAACATCTTCTTATCACTTTAAACATTAGTTTTATTTAATATTTATATGTGTAGATGCTTCATTTATTTATATATGTGTAGATGCTTCATTTATTTATATATGTGTAGATGCTTCATTTATTTATATATGTGTAGATGCTTCATTTATTTTAAAACGGTATTTATTTCATCTTTAAATTTAAATTATTTAAATATCATTGCGAAAAGTAAAATAATTTTTTAATCAAAAGATTAAAAAAACTTATTCACAATGAAAACAGATATTCGAAATTATTTAGAATATTTATTGAACGTGTAATCAAGTGTACATTTTAATGAAAAGGAATGCTATTAAAACAGGTAGATATACGTAACGGCCAATGAAAATGTGAGATGAGAAAGACAAACTGTTTACAAGAAAAAGAAATCAACAAAGATAGGATGTTTATTCGAATAATTGTATCTTATAAGCATGATGCAATTTTTTAAAAACATTCATAGTCATTGGTTAAGGGTACATTTTTAAAAAAGCTGACTGTACAAAGAATTTGAGATTTATAAATTCAAAATTATCAGCATGACCAATCAATTAGAAAAAAACTTACCGGCATGAACAAGCGGATTTGCTTTAAGAAAAAACGAGTGATATATCTTAAAAAATCCCCAACGAATTGATGGCAAAGTCTATATACACAATGTCATAATTTGCTTATACATGTTTATAAAATATATCGCTCGAATGTCACTGGGGGTTGCTTCAGTATAGCGCTTCGGATGACACTGGGGGAGAGGAGGGTGTTACAAATCAATTTAAAGTTAAATTGTTATTTCCTGACAAACAGTAGAAATGGTTGTCTTTTGTACAGCAACACATAACCTTAATTGTTTGGAAGCAACAATCTTGATAGAATCAGAATTCCGAGATCAAATAAAAAACAGTCTATATATGTTTAAAGCAACTGAAAGTATGATGAACTCTTGTAATTGTATTCATTTTAGATATTTAGAAATTCGGCCAAGGCCGAGTACTCATCTCGTATTCATGAATAACTTTTTGTTATTTATTTTTAATTAATTATCTGTTCTAAGTGTAACCAATGAGCAAGTAAAGAGAAATTTCTTTTTAATTATCCGTTTGCATATCCAGTATCATTTTTGCTACATACCTTTATGTATTCAATATAACATGTAAAAATTGTCCCAAATAAAAATAAATAGCATTTAAAATAACATTTATTTTGAAAATGCAAGCGGTTATTCGAAATTCAAACAATTATTTTGTCAACTAAGCAAATGCCCATTAAACTTTTATTAAAACAATTAAATTGACTCAAAAAAGTCTATATGAAAATGCAGTTTACTGACTTGCCAATAATTTTAATACATATTTACTGATTTTATTTTCCCAGGCGATCCTTACAACTAATTAGTTCCTTAGATTAGACAGCCCTCTTTTTCGTGTCAGTATTATTAAAAAATTTAGATCCTTGAATCTGCTAATGATTTTTCTCAGATTCTTTCAGTCTCAGCAGCCCCTTACGTCTTAGTGGCTTTATTACCTTGTTTGGGTGTGAAATGATTTTTAATAAAAAAACTAATATAAGTATCTCTAAGTTTTCTTTTCTATTTTTTCATTCAATCAAACCCATTAAATGTCTATCAAATTCATTAAATGTTTATTAAGTCCATTAAATGCCTCTCAAGTCCATTAAATGTGTATCAAGTCCATTAAATGTCCATTATGTTTCTCAATAGAGTTACTGAATATAAATATTCAGAGTGACTATTTCTAAGAGAAGCATGTATTGACAAAACATTGCAAGATTTTAATTCTTTTATTTTTTTTTCGTATCTGCATCATTTTTTCTGAATAAATTCTCATGACGAAACGGTTTCTCACACATGTTTTATTTGAACATGTATACAATGTACTTTGACAAAACTTATTGAATATTAAAATTTTGATAGTCGGAGCAACTTTGAGTTGAAAATACTTACTCCAGATGAATAGGATCTTTTATGAGCGGATGACTGACGATTGGTATCCAAAGCTTCCCTTAAATCATCATTTGTGTCGTGCAATTTTTTATTTGCGTCACTAATATAAAATAAACAGATATCAATATCACCTAAAATAGAGACAACTTCCAAATATTAGCCATATAAATTTGTTAAAATAACTGCAAATTAAAGAAAAATATAACACAAAAACTATGACGATAATAAATGGGATACAGCTGAATTACAACTATTTTCCGAAGTATATCTGAGCAAAGGCAATAGTTGTGAAGTACGCACTGAATGAACTCGGTGAGAACAGTTTACCACCATCAAAAACTGTTCAAAACAAAACATTTGCTTATTCAAATACAACTGAAAATTGTAAATACTAATTTAAATTGTGAGAAAATGTAATACGTATAATCATGTAACAACAAATAAAATAATTGAGACTGTTAAATTTTCAAAATGTCTGTGAATATAATGTCGTGTAAATTCCCTAATTGTACAATACATAATTTAGAATGTGTAGAGCAAATGATTCTAATTAAAAAATATTTTGAAATAACAACCCTAATTCCTTCCGTAATCAATATTATTTTGCAATTTTGTTTTAATATACAATGATATAACATTCATGAGTCAGAATACGACCACATTATTAACAATAAATTTAAATATTCTTTAAGTAGAGTACTAGCTATTCATTTCCAGAGGAAATTTGTATGTGTCATAAACGAATCTATATATGAAACGTGTTCATGACAACTTTAGACATTCAAAAAGAGAAAATTACAGACAGTTCTGGTCTAACACTTATTTGCATATAATATATAATGTAAACTATTACTTCTCATATTTCTACTGGCTTCATTCTTTTTGTTGTTACGATAACATTTTTGTTGATCCATTCTATATAGTTTCTATATTATTAATGGAGTCAGTTAGTTGGGCGATCATGTCTCTTTCGATTTATGACTCACTAGACTGAAAGTTTTCTCGCAGTAGGTTGCCATCTCTTTACTTCGACAGACTGACGTAATACTATATGGACCAGTCTGTCCTACTTCAAAATCCATAGCCTCTAATATGTATTCATATCTATCTCAAGAGTATTTTTCATGTAACATAAGTGAATGTAACGAACCCGACTGGAATTTGAACCCAGCTCTCCGATTTCTCATTCCGAGTCGTTATCCATTATAACAGAACGCACATCAATTAATGAAGACTGACTAAAAAAGGGAAAGAGAAAGCCTGCCTATTTTTATAAATATTGAAGAACGAATCGAGAAAAACGTTATAGTAACAACAAAAACAAAATAATGTACAATATTTAACTGCTGTTTTTCGTGATTTTACTAGTAAAATTTAAACTTCTAAAAGAGGACCTTTTCATGCAGTTGAAAATACAACAGTTAAATCTCAGTTTGTTGCTTTTTACCACTTGGAATTATAATAATCCATCTCAAAATCTCAGAAAGTAAAATCTTAGTGTTTGAAAAAAATATTAGAGTTATTTACAAAAATTAACAGCAGAAATTTTTATGCAAAATGCATACAATTAATTATACAAAAGAGAAACTGAAATAATCAACATTTTAGGTATTTATTTTACTGGTTATTTATGAAAGATTCTCCTTTAATCAAATTCAGATAAATATTTTTCTTCGACATCTGTACACCCGCTTTATTAATGTTATTCAATGTCTAGTTAATATTTTACCCAAAAAAACTTTTGATAGTAAAGGTAATCCATGTAATTGCTTGCGAAATGAATGCTGCAGTTATCATTAAAATGGTTTGGTTTATTTTTTTTTACGGCAAGCCTCAATGTATTATTTAATGCCGACAAGATTTTTAGGATAGGTTCGTATGAATAGAATACGTATTCTTTGTAAGAAATCAGTTTGTAGATCATGTTTCATTAACGCATTTATGTAAAGATGGTTTTTGTCGAGAGTCATATATATTGATGGTAATTTTTTTAAATGTATGTACTTTTACTACAAAAGTCTATTTTTATACTGTCACAGTGTTTTGACCCCAATTTGGGGGTTAACTATTTGCCTATAGCTGACACCGTAATATGTGCTACCACCGTGGGTTAGGGTGTACCTGGGAACAACAGCAATTAAGAAGTAGTTCCACGCTCCTCAAAATCTCCCGATCAGAGTCCTTCTTATTGGATGTAAGTTTATCGTCCTACCCAGGACGTTAAGCGTTAATGGTAAATTGAAAACAAAATAAACTGTTGAACAAAGTTCAATATTGTTTTCTTATTTGGCAATTTTCAGTTTTATAATTTGATTTATGATGAATAGAAAGAAATATTTTTTTCTAGGGATTCGAATAAAAATAATAATAATAATAATAATAATAATAATAATAATAATAATAATAATAATAATAATAATTTGAAAATGCTGAATTCATTAATATCAAGTACCATTAAATATGTTGTTAATATGGATATTATATAATTTAAAAAAAAAAAAAGTATAATTATTAAATATTCACAAAAGTAACTTTTATAAACTCATTAAAGGCAAAAAATTAGTTGTCTAATTTTTTCGTTTTTAACATTTTATAAGATTGTTCTGCATGAATATTAATATTATCCAAAGTGTAAGGTTTCTATCATAAAGTCTGCTTGCCAAGAGTAATAAATATGAAACGACTTTAATGTCCGTTTCCTGATTTTAGTAGCAAAACAAACGCCTAAAAGTACACATTTTCATATGATTGAAAATAAATGTTTATTTTTAATCTTATATTCGAATGTTAAATTCATGCAATAAAGCTACTAAAAATATTTTATTTATGATGAATTTTTTTTTTTTTTTTGGTAAAGAGATTGTTAATGCTGTATTTTCAAACGTAAAACAAAACAAAAAAATGAATGAAAAGGTTTATAATTTAATTTAATTATAGCAGAACGTTTTAATACAAAATGCATTTAAAATTTTGATCCTGCATCTGTATTCATAGGTGAAAAATTTATTTACTTTTTTTGTAATATTGTAACGAACAAAATTGACAGTTCAGTTAAGCAAACAATAAATCAACCATATTTGATTTAATTATATCCTGTTGGCTGTTATTTAAAAAAATAATTATAATACTAAAGCATTAATATTTTCTTCTAGTAAACATAGGTATCTTCATGAGATCGCCAAAAACAGAGCATAGCATGATGAAAAAGACGCCAAACTTGACGAAAACAAAATTTTAGCATCTAAATGTTTATATTACTATTGAGAGGAAAGATCAAAGTATTTTTTAATTATTTTTAAAAAATTTTCTAAATTTCTTTTCTAAATTCTAAATTTTGATTAGAAAAACCTTGTTTCTCTTTGTGTCACCGGTACTAGTAAAATAACATATACAATTTTAGCGCATTTTTTTCAGTATCACAGACATTAATTTTGAAAATCTTGCAAAAATAAAAATAATTGTCGCATTTTAATGAAACTTTTAGAAACTATTCACAAATGATGGAACTTATTATAAATATGTTTTCCTTTTTTAAAATATTTTTTTTCATATGTATATCCAAAAAAGGTGAAACAAGTTTTCGGGAATGGAGAGAAGAGCAGATGTCAACTCGGGATTTGAGATTGTTTTCAGACAATTCATGAGGGACCCATTTTCCAAGTTTAGGAACTTTTCCAAGTTGTTGAAGATGACTATGAACAGTTGTATGGTTTGAACTGAGAACCACTGCCAATTCCTCAACTAATAAAGCAGGATTTTCTTCAAGGGCTGCTTCAAGAAGCTTTTCATCAAACTCAACTGGATGTCCGGTTCGATCTTCAACTTCAAGGATGAAATCTCCACCTCTGAATTTTGCACACCATCTTCTGCAAGTTCTTTCATTCACACATTCCTCTCCATAAACTGAGTGAATGTTTCTAGCCGCTTCGGCTGCTGAGTTTCCTTTCTTGAACTCATAAAGCATTATGTGCCTCAAATGATTCTTGGGTATTTCCATGTTAGCAGACATCAAACATTAGTAAATCAAACAAAATTTAATTTTATTGTTCTCTGAAATAAAATTTGATCAGTTTAAATGCATCTAAACATAAAAATAATGTTCAGCTCCATTAGACAATACTCTTTAAATTTCATTGATTTTAACAAAAAGTTAAAATTCGGACAGAACTTATGGGGATGACCTGATAGTTAAAAGCACAAGGCTTTGAGGAAACCAAATCATGATTTTTTTTTTTTTTTTGGACTACCTCTACCTGAAAATCATCACTGAATTGTAACATACAAAACTCAATAAAACAAAAATATTATTTAATTTCATAAGCTTTTAATTGCTTTTATTTATTTTAACGAACATGGAAAATATTGTCTGAAATGAAAAATATGTATCGATGAAAAATTAATTTTTAAAACAATTATTGTTATTTCTGAAATATTTTATTATTTTTACATTATGTTGTTAATTCTTCTAAAATTAGAGAAAAGTTTGTAAAATTTAACGAATGTTGTTATTAAGTAGATATATATTTACAGATTATAATTTCCAAAGCTTCTTACAAACTAACGAACAACAGTATATAAAAAATGTAACTTGTGTCAATAATAACGCTGTAAATCAAATCTACGGAAGACCGGAAGTATCATGTGTGCAATAAAAAAAAGTCACGTGGATTGAGTTTCTGTCTAGTATTTAACTTAAATACTGAATTTTTGATACAATTATTTGTTATTTCTTTAATTATAATAGATTTTTACATTTAAATTGTTAAAATATAAAATTAGTTAAAAGCCGCATTCAGTTTCGTAAATGTCCTTTTGAGATAGATTTATTTTTGCGAAACACGTGTGAAGAAGTTAATTTGATTTTTCAATTTCAACTGAGAAGGGTACCTATCAGTATCATCTTATGAAATTTAAATTTGTATTTTATGTACACTTCTGATAAAATTTCATAAGGAAGGTACCTATAAATTAATTAGATAGCTTTCTTATGAAATTTAATCTCACTCTCAACAGTCTTATTTTAATTTCTTTATAATATATTTTCCATAAAGCATCGTAAACGTAAAGGTGAAAGCTAATTACGAAAAAATAAAAAAAATTAGAGCGCTGAAAGTTTTCCTTAAAAATAACGAGGTAAATAATTTGTTCACTTAAATCTAAATAACTTCACATCTTTCCTCCCGTAGAAGGAATTATCCTCACGTAAGCTATCAAAACGTCATGAATGTCTTTCGTCACCTTGTCAAGTGACGCGAAAGGTTATGACCTGCTTTGTTTTATTTTCAAAGTTAAGCTTGGTTCAAAATATTTTCAATAAACATTATAATTTCTGATTTTCTTAAAATAAGTTTTGAAAAAATTATAATTGATTTATCTGTCAATTTTGCTGACTAAAAAAAAACAAGATTTTTAACGAAAATTTTGGACGTGCTAGGAAAGATTAAAAAAGGTAAAAAAATACTCTTAATAATAACATAAACATTTAGATGATAAAGTTTTGTTTCCGTTAAGTTTGGCGTCTTTTTCGAACATGCTGTACTTTTTTTAGCGATCTCATGAAGGTACCTAAGTAAATAATAGCCAATTTGATGTAAATGCCGACAGAAATCTATGTTTTAAGAAGTTAGGAAACATTAGTGTCTGTGAAATTTGGAATCACAGAAACTGTTTACTTGCACTTATAGAAATGTTTTTTAATTCATATTTTCCAAAATCAAAAATAAAACGTTTTAAATTCTTGAGGTAAATTTCCAAAACAAGGACTTTTTACTCGGTGCTATCAATACACACACACACACATATATATATATATATATATATATATATATATATATATATATATATATATATAATGGACACTGGGTTCAACACCCAGCAGCGAAACTCTGTTTTGTGCAAAAACGCAATTTTCAGGCCTGAATTTCATTTGAGCATGAAGCAGACTGTGGCCTCTGCCTCCACTTTTACATTTCATATTTACATAACACTTTATCCCTGATAGTGACCAACTTAACCCATAAAATACTAAAGGCAAAGATATTATTAGAGGTATTTTGACAGATTCTTCATCCTTTATGCCAAATGTGATAAAGTTTAAGTAAAAGTATGACAAATAACATTTTATTAATTTCTCTAGATCAGTTATTATTACTCACTGTAATAAATGTAACTGCCGGGTTAAATTGTCCTGTTCTTTAATAAAATCCATCATAGTATCTTTCTCCCTGCAACAAGAAAACAAATGAAATCTCAAGTTGAAAACTATATCAAATTTTTTTTTTTTCTTGTATATTCAAAAATGGTTGTCATGGCGGAGGTGATAGTGGGAACAAGTTCCCACTGTCTATAAAATAGCCTCTGACAACGAATCCGGAGAATGGCGAAAGCGAAAAACTGGCGCCTCATAACCAGCTGCTTCGGGGAGATGGAACTCGATAACGCCGGAAAGAAGTCTATCTAGGGCAAGGAAAACCCTGATTTTAAATCTTTGCTGCCTTGCGATCATATCCAAACACAGAAATGGGTATGGGATTAAATCAAGACAAAAAAACGCGGAGTGGAGCACCGAAGGAGGTTGACTGTCAATACTTTCAATTTTCCGGCCACTCCTGCAGCCAAGCTGTCCCATTTATCCGGTCGGTGAAAAACTGAGAGCGGGTCCTTGGATATGTTTACACTTTTTGAAATTAATATATATTTTTTTATCTTGTATCGATAAACAGATGTTTAACTGCACTGAAATGTTTCACTGGGACTAAATTTCATGAAAAATAATCTGAATTTTTTTAAATGAACAATGGCTGTGTGTGAAAAATAAGTTATTTTTAATTAGGTTTGCATCGTAATTATTCGAATTTATATTTACACTTAATGTCTATGCAATATCTTAGGAAAGAATGAGGAGATTTCCGATGAGGAGTTGAAAATTCTCGATCACTTTCCAAAATCCGACGAAACAACAGATTATTTCTGGTATAGTTTTTTGGTCGAGACAAGAATTTTTCAGCACCCCATCCCTTAGCGACTGAAGTGAAAATTATATATAATAGAAAATTATATATAATAGAAAGTGAAAATATATAATAGAAAGTTAATGCGTTCTTCCTGTAATAAAAAACCATCGGTTCCTCGCCTTAGACTAGGGTTGTATAGTAAGATTTTGTTGATAGACTTTTATACTGAAACAAACAAATTTATTTTCTCACATGGAAAGGAAAAATACAGTTAGTTAATCGATATTTTGACTGAAACAATATTGGTCATTAGCAAGCAATTATTTAAAATTCTAATTTTTTTGTTATTGTTAATTTGTAGAAACTTAGTGAAACTGGAAAGCAAAACTTATAATGATCACAGATTCGTGCTTTGTTAAAATTAATCGTGGATAATCATAGTAATAATTTGTCGAGCAGTTTCACTTATTTTAATAAAACATTAGAAATGGTGGACGACATAAATTCCTTTTCTCGGTATTTGTATGCAATTTCTTCGCTTATTTTCCAAGTTTAATGATTTCATAATCGTGGAATATGTAGTATAAAGCAAGTTTTTTTTCGTATTGTAGTGGTATAGCCATAAGTGAAACTTGGTAAGGGTGAAGTGGGTGAGGTTGGGGATTGACTTAGTTGTGAATGATTTGATAAGACTTAGTATTATCTACTGTCTCAAAACTTATCATGGAATTCCGTCTATTTCACTTATTGCAACTAATTAACATTTTAATGAGCTTTCCCGGCAATTTAGCCCCTGTACATTTAGACTTAAATGATAACTTTCCCTGGACCCTCATCCCAAAATAGGATCACTTCATACACTGGCAACCTCAAACTTCCTTGGCAGAATAACATGCCTCAACAAATGGATGTTCCCCATCGCCCGATTAAAAAAAAATGATAGGGAGAAAGAGAGAGAGAGAGAGAAAGAGAGAGAGAGAAATAACTGAAATTTTCAGTAATGTTAAGATTATTTTAATATTTTTGCTCAATCTAAATACCAAACACAAATAACGAGAACGAAGCGAAAAACATTTCTTAATTATTTTTTAAGCTTGAAAACATATTTAAGTTGATGCTTAATCACACGTACCTAACCTTAAAAAATGGCAATTCCGAATAAAGATAAATCACGCTTACATTTTCAATTCATGGCATTTGTCTTCGTATTCCTGGCGAAGTGTGGCTAACTCACTGCGAAGCAGTGCTAAGTTAGTCTGTGAATCAGTCACATCGCTTTTTAGCTGTCGGTTCTCTTGTAACAATTCATCCACCCTAAGTCGCAATGATGTCATTTGATCCTCATAATTCCGTTCCCGCTTTGTAATGTTTTCCTAATAATGACAAAGTAAGAAGATCGTTTAAATTGACCTAATACTTTTAATTATTTACACAAGTTTTGTTTTCCTTCTTCACAAACAAAGTTTATAAAAATGAATTATCTTAAATAACATGAAAAATTAATAATGAGAATTAATATTTCTTATGTACAAACAATTGATTTCTCATTGAGTTTTTTCGTGCATGTACCTGAGTTGAATCATTTGTAAAAGTATCAGAGAATATTTTTATTGCAGAAAAGTAGAAGAAATAATGGAATAAAATATTTCTCAATTAATAGAATATACCAATTTGACTGCAAATGATAACACAACCAATCACTGACAATTACAATCACGCTTTTCTGTGCTATATTCAATATTCAACAGTGTCTGGAATAAACATTAGCTGTTATGGAACATTGCAGTATTTTCGTGTGAGCTCTTTCCCCTTTTTCAAAATTGTTTTACAATATATGATAGAATACAAATGATAATGCGGTGATTCGTATGATACTTAGTAGAATATTTCCCTGTTCGTAAGCTGTGTTGTATCGCAGTCCCCATTCATGTAAGTTTGGTGTTCGGTATCACGGTATACAATACGTCTGAAGTTATTATGCAAATCACATAAACTACAACTCGAATTTTATTTAAACAATTTTTATCAAATTTTAAACAATTAAATTAGACGTCAAAAAAAGTTTGAGTTATTTTTAGCTAGTTTCAACATGACTTATTAAAGTTATTGGATTTATTATAAAAACTGCAGTCTGAAGTTATTATGCAAACCAGAAAAAAACTTTTAGAACAAATAATAAATATATATGATGTCTTTGAAGCATTTACATCTTAATATAGTGGCCATTCTTCTTAATAGCAGCTAGAAATCCATTGATTTTTAATGTTTTACTTTAGCAGGTTATATTTCCGCCATGGCGATTTTAATTGCTTCCCATAGGTCTGTTTCACTGTTATATTCGTTGTCACCTTCATATAATTTTATGATCACAATTGACCATAGATTTTCAATCGGATTCAAATCGGAACTTGATAGTGTCCATTCCATTAGCTAACAGGTAACAGCTACATGAGAAGGAGCATTGCCGTGCATAAATACACACTTCGCTTTGAAACTGCGAGGCTGAGACTTGTCCCATTGAAAGAAAGTCTTGCCCATGAAATCGCAGTAGTTAGCACTGTCCGGTCTAACTCCTTCATCGACTTTGAATAGTTCAAGAATAGTATAGTCGACAATTCCAGTCCATATCATAGCACCGCCTACTTGCTGCCTTCTTTATATCTACAAGCGCATTTACATCGGATAAAATCCATCCTTCGGTCAATCCATCAGATCTATCGAGTGTCAATCGATATTCGTTCATAGAGACTACTTTCGAAAATACAATTTTCATATAGATCTCGGCCCGATTTCGACGTTTAACTAAGAGGAGTTTTCCCACTAGATTTCTTGACAGACCTAATTTGTGATGTATTTTACGCCTTTTGCACTTCTTGACACCCTTAGTTCCAGCTTGTTCAAAGAACTGAGCACTAGTCAAAAGTGGTTATTTCGCTATAATTCTCTTTAGTTTAAATTCTCCCCGAGAAGACAAGTTCTTAAAGCCTTTTTCCTCAGTTCTAGTTCTCAATTTAATTATATTATCAACAGCCTTCTTTATCGTTCGTTGATTTTCCGCGAAGCTCCTTTGATTTCTCCAGTGTGGACATTCCTTCACTCAATAATTTTGATAGCAAATCTAACAACTTTAATAAAACATACTGAAACTACCTCAAAATTTAACTCAAACTTTGTTTTGACGTCTAAATTAATCATTTAAAATTTGACAAAATTTTTCAGGTTTATGTGATTGTAGAGGGTGAGAAAACGTCTTTAAAACTTGAAGAATCGTTTCCGCTGATTCATAAAACGTTCTCATCAGAGAGTCTTTTGTTAATGGAGCATATCAATTAGCAATTGAGCCAAGATACTGTTTAAAGTTATCTACTTTAAACAGCTCAAAATCACATCTAACATGTGGATACGCATATAGAACAAACGAAACTACTTACGTTGCTGAAAGCTCTGCAGGAAGTAATAAAATATTTTCATTGAGGGTCCATGATGAAAAACTTACATTCTGCTCTTGTTTTTATTTCGTACTTTTTTCGTGACTGTGATATAAATTTGCAATTATAACCCGTTTTGGAAATCTGATTTATCAGACAACCTCAAAGGGAGATTCTTTCAAGCCAATATAGAGGCGGTGTTAACTAAATTCCTAGAGCCTAAGCTTGATAGAACCCATACTCGGATACTGAGAATTATACTTAACATCTCTTGGAGACAACAACCAGCTAAATCACAGCTCTATCGACCCCTTCCTGGTATTTCTACAATCTTACGCGAACGCAGAATGCGCTTTGCAGGACACTGTTGGCGAGCAAAACAAGAAATTGCCAGTGATCTACTGCTCTGGGCACCTAGCCGTGGCGCAAGAGAAGGTTGGTCGCCTAGCTATGTTATGACACAGAATGCCAACCTAATGACCTTCCGACTTTGATGCAAAATCGTGATGGTTGGCGTAAAAACTCATGAATGTCCGAGCTAGCTCGACCTAATAAATAAGAAAAGGTTATTAAAATACGAAATATATGTACACTGACGTGCTAAGTCATGGAATGGAAATATCTAACTGTAATGGTAGGTGACATCATGTAAATATCTAGCCCTATGTCAGTTGTACTCAGACACTAACTAGACACTTCGTGGCAAGGCTGCCTTCGATCTGGGCATAATACTGGGTACCAGACATTCAATAATCATTTTTTTAATAATTTCACCCCAAGCAATGTGATAAAGCCATAAAGATGCAAGGGGTTACTGAGAGTAATAGAAAACGAGAAAACCTTAGCGAGGAGCAATGGCTTTGAACGTCTGGATCGATTTAAACTATTGATCTTTCTCCGTCTCCGTCTCCTCCTCCCCTTCCTCCTTAAACACGAGTTGTTATAATTTCTACTAATCTTTTTTTATCTAACAACTCTTTGCGCCCCTAAAATTTAGTGCCAGGGGAAATTGTCCTCGCTACGCTACTGGTGAGGAGATAGGACAATTAAAGATCAGTGTTTTAAAAGACAGAAGATGGCGAGTAGTGTTGCATTAAAAAAAATTGGAGATCATAGTTGACAGGGAAGCAGGAATACGGTAGAGTTCTACAGGCGAAATGTGTGATAAAATAAACTATTGGAATAGAACTTACGGTTACATCTTTTGCTATTTCAACAGTAAAATGATGAGACCTAGCTACCAATCTAGTACTGCGCTTACATACATGAAATCGATGTACCAAAGAGAAACAATTGGCATGAAAATATTTATAGATAAAGAACAAGAAAGCTACGTTATGGCGACGGGAAAGTAATTGAAAGCCAGATGCTATGTCAACGCTGATAACATTACAGATTCTTCTTTGGATTTTGTCAAGACTCTCTAGATATATAGCAGGAGCACCAGACCAGATGTAGCTAGAATATTCAATGCAGGAACTAATAGTAAACTTATAAACTTGAAAGATGGATTCTGTCCAGAAAAATTGTCTGACACGACATAGTGAACCAACTATCCTAGCAGCAGATATAATAATTTATACAATATAATCGTTCCATTACAGCAGAAAACATGAGACAAAAAAAGCGCAATGAGATGCTATCCTGACGAAGAGCAAAAATCGTTCTGTAAGATAACTAAGACAGCAGTTACGCTTTAGAGGCGTTAAAATTTAAAAACCATTTGATTCATTAATTAAGAACAGAAATGATAACTTCTAAGAACAGAGGAAGATTTAGCTGGAAAGCAAGAAACAGAAAGGCAGTGTGGAGAAAACAGGAGCCAGTTCAGGGATACATTTCTTTAGGATAATTGCAAGTACACCATCGAGTCTGCATGCTTTGTGGGAATCAAATCTGGGGAAGATAGCAGAAACCATATTCGGAGTTATATTCATATCACACAGTAGAGACTAGGTTCTAGGTAAAAAAAAAAAACTTGTAAAAATACTCATGATGAATAAAGAGTCGAATTGGAAGTGAATTTATGAACAAAGAGTTCTGCTTTATCAACACTTGTATTTAACACACTCATACAGAGCCGAAAATAGTCACGAAAATCAAACTTGTGAGAGGCTATACGGTGTCAAGCTCTGTTAGCGAACAACGACTTAGCAACAAAGATTCGCTTGTAATTATACGAGCGAACACAAAGAAACATCTGTTGTGTTCAGAGCTATCGCGTTGGTAATGTCAGAAGTAATTCATGTGAGCTCTAGCGACAGAACAGGCAGGTGTGAGCCAAGGAAAAGATTCTGGTTTCATCTGGTATTTCCGAAACGGCACGAAAGCATCGATGCCAGATTTTACCCGAGAAGAAACCTCAGTTGCAAAATTTCAATGGGAAAACCAAGTGACGTCGCGAAGAAAATCGCGAAATAAATCCCAATCAATCAATGAAGTCTTGTGAATAGGAGTTTCCTGTCTAATAGACGAGACAAAAGAAATATCTGCAGGCACATGATTACCAAGAGTACAAAGTTGTGATGCACCAAAAGTCAAAAAGAGGCGAGGTAAGGAACAAATCGCATAAAGAAGAGTGTTTGTCCGAATCATTAGGGAAACGTGTAGGGAAATCTGTTTGACTGAGCAATGAAAAAATGAAAACAATTGAAAGTTTGAACACCAGCAACATCCGTTGTATTAGAATGAAGCTACTTGACATCATGTATGATGATTTGACACCTCTTCATCTACTGTGTCACGTGTATACCGGAAATTTATGAGAGACATTACTGCCCACTTTATGCAGTGCAGTGGTCAGCGATGGGATTCTTAACGATTGTGACCAGAATTATCGTTAATAATCTGGTAACGGACAAGCCGGACTGGCTTAAATCATCGTAGGACGTACAAGACGTATTTCCAGCAGGTCAATGCAGATCAATGGGATCTGGGTAAAGAAG